CCTTGCTGGTAGTTTGGCTTTATCAAAAGGCTCAGTCCTTTGGGGCCCTACCAGGAGACCCACTGTTTATCTAATCCGAAGCTTTGTTTACAAATGCATCCTGCTGAATGTCATTGCGTGATTGTCCTGGCACCACATGGGATCAGGATGTTTTTCTCCTGGATGTCCAGGAGGTTTTACCATAGCTACATTGTTTCTGGGCAAAAAGGTGGTTTTGTTTTTCCAGCCTGTCTACCCTCATGCCCTGGCTAGTCTCTGAAGAACTACAGCTTTATGTGAGGTTCTAAAAGTTAGACAAGGGCTAGAGAGATGGTTCAGCAGCTAAGAACATAGGCTGGTCTTCCAGAGGTCCTGAGTTCAATTCCTGCAACTACTTGATGGCTCACAACCATCTGTAATGAGATCTTTACTTCCACATTTATGATAAACTTGCCAATTTTGAAAGTAATAATTCTGTTAGAATTTTCATAGTATTGTATTAATTAATTAATTAATTTTTTGGTTTTTCGAGACAGGGTTTCTCTGTGGCTTTGGAGGTTGTCCTGGAACTCGCTTGGTAGTCCAGGCTGGTCTTGAACTCACAGAGATCCGCCTGCCTCTGCCTCCCGAGTGCTGGGATTCAAGGCGTGTGCCACCAACGCCCGGCTATTAATTTATATTTTAACAAGGGAATACCACCATTATAATCATAGCAAACCTTCCAATTTGTGAACTGATGTAATGCCTTTCCATTCATTTTGACCTTTCAAGATTCCTTTCAGCAATAGTTGCATTTTCCAGTGTGCATTTGACAGCTGGACGATGGTGGTGCACACCTTTAATACCAGCACTCAGGAGGCAGAGGCAGGCCGATCTCTGAATTCAAGGGAGCGTGGTCTATAGAGCAAGTTGCAGGTGAGTCTCCAAAACAATACGGAGAAAGCCTGTCTTGAACCCCCCTTCCAAAAAAAAGTTGTGTAAGGTGGGGGATGTGTGGAAGAGAACAACTCTGTGGAGTCCGTTCTCTCCTTTCACCTTTAAGTGGGCTCCAGGGATCAAACTCAGGTTGCCAGGATTTCACAGAAAGCACCTTAACCTGCTGAGCCATGTTAGTGGCCCTGTTTCGTTTTTAATTTTATATCTCAATCCTGAATCACATTATTAGTATTAGTTCTGCTAACTTTTTTGTGGGTTTCTTGTAATTTTTTTTCCTTACTAGATTGCACTGCCTAACATCACAAGTGTCATGTTGAAAGTTGGAGAATAAATCTTAGAGGGAAGGTTTCTGATGCCTGTATGTTCTTCACACGCTTTGTCCAGTTGAGGGTGACCTTCTATTCCAAGTGAGCTGAGATCCGGTGCCATGAATTGCAATTAGATACTAACTCTTAACCTCTGAGCCATCTCTCCAGCCCTGATATGTTGAACTTTTATCATCATGTAGACAAAACTTAAGGTTTAAAAAGGCTTCATTTATTTTAAAATTATGTATATGTGCATGTACCCACCATGGCCAGAGGTTAATTTCGGTTTCCCTGGAGCTGGAGTTACAGTGGGTTGAGAACACCTGTAACACATGGGTGCTGGGGACAGAAGTTGGGTCCTCTGTGTGAGTAGCAAGCATACTTAATTACTAACACTCAATTCTTCAGTGTATGGGGTGGGGATGGAGGAAGGAAAAAGAGAGGAGAGAGGGAGATAGAAAGGAAGATACAAGGGAAGGAGGGAGGGAGAGGGAAAAACAAGGTCATAAATGATGTAGTTCAGACTGGCCTCAAACTATTAGTTACTTTATGTAGGTGAAATAAAAATACTTCTCATTTTCAGTTTTACTGTTTTTTTTCCTTTTACATACCAACCCCAGTTTCCCCTCTATCCCCAGTTTTACTGTTTTTCAATTAATTCAGGTTACATATACTGCCCTATGTTCACAGGTCTAAGTGGGATGTACATTGTCAAAAACAATTTTTTGAGACAGGGTCTCACTGTGCAGCCTAGGCTGGCCTGGAATGATTACTTATTGTGTCTGAGTGTCTTGCCTGATGCCTACAAAGACCAGAAGGTGACACCAGATAGCCTGAACAGGAGTACCAGATGGTTGTGAGCTGCTATGTAGGTGCTCAGAACTGAACCCAGGTCCTTTGAAAAAAACAAGAGACTTCAGCTGCTAATCCATGCCTTTAGGTCCTGGCCTCAAATTCTCTATCCTACCTTAGCCTCCTGAGTGCTGAGACAACAGGTGTGCATCATCATGTTCGAATTACATTTCTGATTAGCATTCTAGAATAAGATAGGGCAAGATTTGTGGTTCAAAGAATAGAACATATTTGATACTAAACTATGAACTACATTTTTGTGTAGATTTTCAGTTGTTTTCAATAAGATCTCATGTAGCTCAGCTAACATGAAACTCTTGATCTTCCTGCTTCAACTCCCCAATGCTTTGTTTTTACAGGTGAAAAACCTCAAGTTGTCAGGCTGAATGCCTTGTGACATCCCGAGCTCAATAACCAGACAGTTGGATGCAAACGGCAAGAGGTTTATTGTTTACACAGGTGTCTGCAGGCACTCCAGCCACTTTTGCTAGCTGAAAGCCTGGGCTTTAGGACAGTTTTCTTTTTATGTACATAATTTTGGCAAGCAAAGCAATAGGGGTATTGTAAAAAGCGGAGCCACTGCAGGTGCAGATCCGGGCAAGCAATAGGGATATTGTAAGAAGCGCGGGCATAACTCATCCTTCTTGGAGAAACCACAAGGTCAAGATTAAATTTATCTTAACAGGCTGGCGGTCTCCTGCATCAGCACTCTGGACCAGATGTTCTGTTTAATTCAACCTTGTTCCCTGTCTAGGGGAAGGGACCTTGGGGAATTTTTTACTGAGGCAACCTTCTGAGTCTCAAAAATTGGGGGGGGTGTATTGAGGTTTTTCACAGTATGTTTCCTAATTAATGGTGAGCTGGAAGTATTGTAGCCCATCCTTCTGCCCTGTTTCTTTATTGAGATCTGGAAGATCATTTCGTTCTGAAGCACTTTGACTATGTATCACACACTGGTCTTGAACTGATGGTCCTGTATCAGCCTCCTAACTGCTGGACTTACAGGGGTGTATAATCACGTCTGGCTTTTGACAGCTTTCATATTCCTTGATAGTGGAATAGTTAACACTTATAGATGCCATAGTTTCACTGCTTTAGTATTGAAAGGTGGGAAATCTTACAAAGTCAACCTATAGAAATTTAAATACAAAATTAGATTCCACATTTCACTTATTTTTATTTTTTGGTTTTTTGAGACAGGGTTTCTCTGTGGTTTTGGAGGCTGTCTTGGAACTAGCTCTTGTACATCAGGCTGGTCTCCAACTCACAGAGATCTGCCTGCCTCTGCCTCCCAAGTGCTGGGATTAAAGGCGAACACCACCACTGCCCGGCCCACAATTTCATTTTTATAGCGCTAAATATAAAGGATTTGGAAAGACTTAGTCATGAATACAAATAAATTTAATACATGACAAGAAAAAAATTTGTAACATTATAACCCTTCCTGCTCCTAATGCAATAAATATTAACAAAAATCTAACAGAAACAATGTGGAGATGGAAGGCTGAGAGAAAAATAGAAAAAACAAAACACCCTCCCGATCCTTTTATGGACGGGCAAAGACAGACCCATGAAAGGAGATGGGTAACCAGTGCTCACTTCTAGGGAGCTCTCAGGCCAGTTGAGTCAGCAAATCAGTGTTTAGCTTTAAGACTTTTAGAGCAAATTTACTATCTCATTTTGTTATATCAAGAAAGGGACTCAGTATGTAGCTCAGGCTGGCCTCTCACTGTGTCCTATTGCAAAGCTTTATTTCAGTGGATTGACAACTCGTTCAAATTGAAATAAAGCACTATCTTTAAAAATTCTAACATCAGCCAGGCATTGATGGCACATGCCTTTAATCCCAGCAGGCAGATCTCTGTGAGTTTGAGGCCAGCCTGGTCTACCGAGTGAGTTCTAGGATAGCCTCCAAAACAATACAGAGAAACCCTGTCTCGAAAAACCAAAAAAAAAAAGAAAGAAATTCTAACATTAACAGGTCATTTAGCCAGGCGGTGGTGGCACACACCTTTAATCCCAGCACTTGGGAGGCAGAGGCAGTCGGATCTCTGAGTTCAAGGCTAGCCTGGTCTTCAAAGAGAGTTTCAGGACAATCTCCAAAACTACAGAGAAACCCGGTCTGGAAAACAAAAACAACAAAACAACAGGTCGTTTAATTGTCTGGTCTTTATGAAGGTTTTGGCTTAAAAATGAGAGGTTGGAGAGATGGTTCTGTGGTTAAGAGTACCGATGGGTTTAATTCCCAGCAGCCACACAGTGGCTCACAGCCACCTGTAATCTCAGCTCCAGGAGACTCAATGCCTGCCCTTCTTCAGGTCTCCAGGCCTGGGTATGACATGCATATAGTGCAGACAAAAATATAAGAGATCAAATTTTTTTCACAAGTCCTTTCATAAGCCACTCAGGCACAAATAAAGTTTTACATTAGGTTATGAAAAGTATTTAACTGTCTACCCTTCCATTTTAATAGCTGGTAGTATTAAGATTATTCATACTAACAAATTCTGACTTTAGTGCAAATTGAGTGTTCCACATGTGAATGCTTTGGACTACAGTAGCTCAGATTCTGGTATAACTGCATACACATAAAGAGAGATCTGGATAAGAACCAAATCTAAACACAAAATTCACTTACGTTTACAGTGCAGTTTGAGAGCAGTTTTACACATTATTTTTAACAATGCCGTTCATGAAATAGTTCACATTCCTACTTAAGACATCACATTGGTGCTCAAAGTTTAGAACACTTTAGATATTTGCTTTTGAGATTTAATATTTACTGTGCTAAGGCAAGTTAGAAACATATTTCAAAATTACTTTAAAATTTCTTTTGAACTACATTATAGTAAATAACTTTGGATTTTAGTGTTTTTACATACTCAAATAAGAAAAAATAAAAAAAAAACCTAGTCCACAGCAGCATTTTGTACAGTAAGATTTTATTTGAGTAATATTTACAAATAAATATAATTTTAATCACTAAGTTCTTCTTCATCACTGAAATATGCACTTTTCTTTATCCTTGGTCGTCTAGAATCATCTGAGGTTGAGGGAACCCCTGGGCTGGGTCTCCATTTGTTTTGTTCTTCTTCAATTTTGGCTTGCTGTAATATGATTCAGAAGCAGAACAAAACCAGTTACTTATGGCACATCATGTCAATTCAAAGGAATTACTATGGAAAAACTAGAACACAAATAATTTCCACTCTCCTAGGCCACACTGACAAATTGGTCTCCATCATGGTCCTATTCAAAATTATCCTAGGGAAGTGTTGCCCCCCTCCCCCAGGAGGTAAGTGTTGAACTCTCTAAGATAGCATGATGATTCTAAACTAGCCTTCAGTCTCTTTTTCCATAAGGCTGAGGTTGCATCTTCACCCCAGGATTGCGAAGTGCTTGGATAAAACTCAGGGCATTGTGCATGCTGGCAGCTATGCTGAATCCTGGAACCCCTAGTCAATTTTGTTTTCCAGTCTGCTTTGACACAGGGTTTCACTATGTAGCTTATGCTGGCCTGGAACTTGTTAGGTATTTCAGGCTAGCCTTGAACCCATGATCTTCTACAGCAACCTTCTCAGGTGAGAATTCAAGTGTGCAATATGAGGATTAGCTCCATCCTAGGCAACGTCTAAAGACTCTTTCTAGGTAAGCTAAAGGCATTTTTAATCAATGTGCTGTTTTAATTTAAACAATAGTTTTACCTAGCCTGGTCTCTACTTTACATGTGCCAGTATTACAGATGTGATAATGTACCCAGCTAACCCACTGGTTCTCAACCTGTGGGTTGTGACCCTTTTAAAGATCACATGTCAGATTTCCTGTTCTGCCTATCAGATATTTATGATTCATAACTTTAGTAAAATTACAGTTATGAAGTAGCAATGAAATAATTTTATGATTGGGGATCACCACAGCACAAGGAACTGTATTAGAGGGTTGCAGCATTAGGAAGGTTGAGAACTACTAAGCTGATGCAATACTTCACCCAATTTTAAGACAGATTAATAATATCCTGAAAGTACATGGGGCCGGATATTGGTGGTGCACGCCTTTAGTCCCAGCACTCGGGAGGCAGAGGCAGGCAGATCTTTGTGAGTTCAAGGCCAGCCTGGTCTACAGAGTAAGTTCCAGGCCAAAGTATTATAGAGAAACCCTGTCTTAAAAAAACAAAACAAACAAAAAAAAAAAAACAAAAAAAGACCAAAAAAAAAAAAAAAAGTACATGGGACCTTACAGTGTAGAAAGAACAAATGAGAATGTTTCATTCAGATAAAGATGTTAATGTTGCCTCAAATTTACAAGGTGAAAGGGAAACACAGACACTGTCATTACAAGATGATCAATACAGTGATATAAGATATAAACTGTAACATCAAGTACACCACAGTGCCTTGTGATATATATATATATATGTATGTATGTATATATATATATGTGTGTGTATGTATGTATATATATATATTTTTTTTTTTTTTTGGTTTTTTGAGACAGGGTTTCTCTGTATTGTTTTGGAGGCTGTCAGTCCAGCCCGGCCTCGAACTCACAGAGATCCACCTGCCTCTGCCTCCCGATTAAAGGCTGGGATTAAAGGCGTGCGCCACCAACGCCCGGCTATTTATATATTTTTAAACAATTATTTAATTTTTGAGACAGGGTTTTACTCTGTAGTCCAGGCTAGGCTCAAACCCATCTTCCTGTTTCCCCTGCTGAGTTCACCGGGATGGATCACCATGCCTACTACACTGTTCCCCTTTTCTGAGAAAGGTCTCTCCAGACCAGTCTTGAATTCCTAGACTCACATGGTTCTTCACCTCAGCCTCCCAGGCAGGCAGAATTAAAGGCTATAGCTTCGCTCGGTTAAATCAACTGGGACACTATAACTCCACAGTCACACAATTTCCTTTCCTTCCTCTGCCCTGCCCAGCAAGTGGTCCATCACTGAGCTATGTCCCCAGCCACCAGTCCCTGCAGAACATCAGTACCTGGAATGCTATGGCCTGACTGAGACTGTCCAGAGCTGGATCCTCCCCTTCTTCTTCACTCACTTCTACTTCCTCACTAGGTCAGCAAAGAAAAAAAGAATTCAGGTGCAGTCAGCTCACAGTAAAAAGGCAAAACAACACATTACCTTAGTGAGCCCATTATACATACACTTCTTCTGGTTCAGGAACTTTCTTCTTCTTCTTCTTTTCTTTCTTCTTTGGAGGCTCACGTTCTCCCAGCATGTTTTTAGGACAGGCATAACTTAAGTGTCCGCTTTCCTTTTGTTTCACAGTAAAAAAGAAAGAGAAAAGGCTATAGCTGCTGTTACTGATAGAAACCTGCCCTGACCCTGTGACTGAGAGGCTAGAATCCCAGGAACAATACTCTCACTGTGGGAACACAGGACCAAACGCATGCGTTCCTCACCAACAGAGGAGACAAGTGTGTGATGCTCTAACTGCTAGCATCTGCAGTGGCAACTAGTGATCACAGAAGCATTCTCTTCTCAAAACATTTTTTTTTTTTTTTTTTGGTTTTTACGAGACAGGGTTTCTCTGTATTGTTTTGGAGGCTGTCGGTCCAGCCTGGCCTCGAACTCACAGGGATCCGCCTGCCTCTGCCTCCCGAGTGCTGGGATTAAAGGCGTGCGCCACCACCGCCCGGCTTCTCAAAACATTTTAAAACTCAACTTTCACCATATAGAAGGACTCTAGATTTAAGTGGGTCACTAACTCTAAAAAAGTTTGAAATTAGCTTGTTTGTGCTGCTATGTTCAGCTAGCACTGTTCTTTTTACAAACACAACTTAGGCCTTTAAAATACTTTCAAAATAATCATTTAACAGGATTTAAACAAAATGAACTGACTAAATTAGTATGTATTCATGCCATATTTACTCCCATTTTAGTTTTTTTTCTTTTTTTTTCCAAGACAGGGTGGCTTTGGAGGCTGTTCTGGAACTAGCTCTTGTAGACCAGGCTGGTCTCAAACTCACAGAGATATGCCTGCCTCTGCCTCCTGAGTGCTGGGATTAAAGGTGTGTGCCACCACTGCCCGGCTCCTTTCTAGTTATTTACCCGCATTTTCTTGGTCAAGAGGGATAAGGAGTGGCAGCTGGAGAGAGGAGGTGCTTGTTTGAATGAGAATGGCCAACAGGCTCATGTATTTGAATACTTGGTCCCCAACTGGTAGAACTGTTTGGAAAGGATTAGAAGGTGTGGCCTTGTTGGAGGAAGTGTGTCACTAGAGGTGGGCTTTGAGGATTCGAAAGACTCACCATTTCTCTCTGCTTCTCCATGAATACTTCTGGATTTGGTATCTAAGTATTTCATATTGCCATATTTAGGAACTGACAGCTTTGAGACTCAGATTGACATTCTCTTGTCACTAACAATTAAGATAGGTGTGGTGTAGCACACCTTTATAGCTTTGGCTGAGATGGGAGAATCATTCTAGGCCATGAGTTCAATACTAGTCTTGGGGACATCGTGCAATCCCGTCCCAATAACAATTACAACAGAAGTTCAATATGTTACCTTAGAGGATGGGTCATATGAGCATATCAATAGTGAACTATGATGCTTAAACACTGGCAACAACAAAATTCATGTAGTATCCAATGAACAGAAAATCTTTCAAGGCATTAAGAAAGTTACTAGCATTTGTATTTATAGAAAACAATTTCAAAGACTTAGAAACTACTAAAATGATTTTAATACCTACTATAGATATTTTTATTCTCTTACCTGTTTTTTGTTTTTGTTATATTGAGAATTGAATCCATATCCTTCAGCATGCCAGGCAATCTTCCTGACACTCAGTTATGCCTATAGTCCTAAGCCAAGTATCATTAGATGCCATGTTTTCTTTTAAACTTTATATATTAGGATGTGTGTAGACATCCATGTGCCCCAACCTGAGTGTGGAGTCAGAGGACAACTCTGTGGATTAGGTTCTCTCCCACCTTTACATGGGTTCTAAGGATTGAACTCAGGTCTTTGGGATTGCATGGCAAGCACCTTTACCCACTGTGCCGTCCTGCTGGCCCCTGAATACTACATTTCAATGATGTTTACTCAGATGAGTTTATAGTTTCCAAGTAAAGTCACTTTCATAATCTGGCTTTAGCCAGCCAGAAATTTTCTTGAGGAGCTGGGGTTTAGCTCAGATGGTAGAGTGCTTGCTTAGCCTTGGATTTGATCCTGAGTAATTCATAAACGAGAAGTGGTGGGACATGTCTGTAATCCCAGCACTCAGGAGGCAGAGACAGGAGGTTCTTAAATTCAATGTCATTATTAGTTACATGGTAAGTTTGAGCCAGCTATGGTACATCAGACCTGTCTCAAACAAACTGAAAACAATCTCAACAAAAACGAAATTATGGTGAGGCTGGGGAGATGACATGGCAGGTAAGAGTGCTTCTTCTGTACAGGCATGAAGACCAGATCTAAATGCCCACATCTCACATTAAAAAAAGGAGAGCGAGCTAGGCATGGTTGTATGTGTACCTGCAACCCCAGCATTCTGTGTGTATAGATAAAATGGCCCCAGGTTCAGAGAATCTTGTTAAAAGGGAATAAGTGATAAAATAGGCAGGACATTTGCAGTTCTGTGTCCCCCATCCATCCCTGTGCACCCCCCATGGGTGTGGACACCACTAAAAGACTGATATGAAGAACATTTTATACTACAGAAGAGCTACTGAATTTTAGGTTTACTCACCCCACACTCATAGCACTTAGATTTATCAAAGTAGTTTCGCCGTCGGATGAACTCAGCTGCTCTTCCATTGTCAATAGCAATGCTTGCCTTTATCACTCTACCAAATAACTACATCAGAGAAAAACATAAATGCAGAGGCTGTAGTTCACCAAGACCTAGTTATCAGATACTGTCACAACTCTTGTAATAAATATGTGATAGATTCTATGCCGTAATTTTATCTTAAGATTCTTACAATGTTTTGATAATCCCATACAATGCTGACATCTTTTTTTCCAAAAGGTAATCTGAATTACAGCTATTAATTAGGCTTGATGATAGCCTGCACCCCGTTAGCTTTTGGTTTAGATGAACACAGAGACGTTTGGGTTACAACCTTAATGAAATGAATGGCTTACCTGTTTGTTATTTATTGCTCTGGTGCAGTTTAAGGCAGAGTCTTTATCCAAAAACAAAATAAATGCAACACCTTTACTCCTCCTTGTGTCTTTGTCTTTCATAATAGTAACCCTTAAAGCACAAAGAATCAGTTAAAAATAGACAAAAACTACTCAGGGAACTCAAGACTATTTTTATAAGGCTAAATAATAAAATATTTGAAAAGAGAAATAAAAAAATCATGCTTGGCAGTAGATGTTTGTGATGCTAGCACTCAGCAGAGAGAGGCGGAAGGAACGGGGAGTTCAGGGTCATTCTTGGCTACAAAGCTTGAGGCTAGAATGAGTTAAACCACCCAGCTCTTCAAAGTCATGAGGGATCAAGAAGAATAGAAATGAGAAAATGACACTGACAATACAGGAAAGCATAGCTAGAATTGGGAGCTAATCAGAACTTGAAAGGGTCCAGTCAAGATAGGCTGATGCAATTGTCCCACCACAATCAACTGCATATCAAAATGCCTGTCCTCTCTCTTCCTCTTCCCTACTAACCCTCTCCTCGCAAGACTCAAAATTCAAGCTGAGGCATTCCTTTGTATACAGAGAGCAAGTGGAAACACTAAGGATAGTACATGTGGATAAAGGAACTGTCTTTTTTTTTAAAAGAGGGTAACAGTGCTCAGCAGGTTCACAGTGTTTGTTATAGAAACATGACTTTGAATTCTAAGCACTTACATAAAGTACAGGCATGGCTGCACATGCATGTACCCTTGGCAAGCAGAAACTGGTATATCCTGGCAAAACGCTAAGTTTATCAAGAATGGTTAACTTGAGGTTTAGTGAGAGGCCCTGTGTTGAGGGAGTGAGGTAGAGTGGTAGATCCGGGACAGCTGAGGTCCTCTTGTCTTCTCTATGTGCATATGCCAGGGTGTGCACAAGAAACCAAAAAGGAGAGGGGCATGGCAGTTTCACTAGATATTTTCTTCTTCTTTTTTTCAAGACAGGGTTTCTCTGTATTGTTTTGGAGGCTGTCCTGGAACTCGCTCTGCAGGGCTGGCCTCAAACTCACCTAAAACAACTAGGGAGTTGTCAACACTGACCTGTTACTAGTCATAAGCTGGATTCAGCAGTCCATAACAAATAATTATTTTGGGGGCTGGAGAGATGGCTCAGCAGTTAAGAGCACTGGCTGCTCTTCCAGAGGACCTGAGTTCAATTCCCAGCACCCACACGGCAGCTTTCAACTGTCTGCAACTCCAGTTCCAGGAGATCTGATGCCTTCACACCAATGTACGTACAATAAAGTGAAATCAATTATTTTTTTAAAAAGAAATAATGATTTTTTAATTGGTTAAGGTAAACACAGTTTTTATTTTTGTTTTTTAAAATAAAAACCAGGCAAGTGGCCCTGGCAGGTCATTGGATTCAAGTGAAGGTTTCAAGGCAAGTTGAGACATTTTTTTTGAGATAAGGGTCTCCTTGTATAAGTCAGGCCTTGACATCTCTATCTCCCTCCTCAGCTTTCTGAACAACTGGAGTTATAGCAGCACATGACAGCTGGCGCCACGACCGGCACTTCTGGAATTCAGTATTCTTGGCTCCCACTCTCTTACCTCACTGCTCCTTTCTGTTCAGAAACAATGAGGTGGCACTGGGCTCATGCAGCATGGCAGGTGCTTCTCCAAAGGGAGTCTACTGTCATGTTTTCTACCCGCTTCCATCTCTCAATCCCTGCTCGTTAAAATAGGCCTGATTTACAGGGTTTACGATCCTGTATCTGTCCTAATGTATTCTATGGAAATTCCTTCTCCTTTCTACTGACTAAATTCTCCTTCATCTATTTAATATAGATAATACCTCACCTCATCTACTTGAGTGTAAAGTCTTTTAATGCTACCATTGTAACCTGTGTATCTTCCTCATTACACTGGAATAAAAACACATACACACAAAATTTCCTAAAGGGCACACCTACATGGTTATTCATTTGGACACTCAAGTCACTATTATATTCAGGCTCGGGCAATGAACGCCACAGAAAAAATATAAAAGCATATGTACTCTCAGGAAAAGAAAGTTTAGTGATGTAGACACTGTAAACTAGTTACAATAGGGTACACACTTAAGAGAGCTCTTCTCTGGTAGCAGAAAAAAAAAATCACACCGTGGACTTCAAAACAACCAAATCTGTAATGACCTCTGTGTTGCTGGCACATAGAAGAGGGAGTATAGCAAGCACTGTTTTGAGATGCAGGGTAAGTATGAGGGGCTCATTCTAGCACACACCGTGAAGCAGACACTAGCCTGAAGACATGGAGGCTAGCCTCACACATCCTTCTTGCATATCCAGTCCTTGTGCACACCACGCACAGCCAACCTCACCCCCAAGTGGTCTCTCAAGGATGAACAGCCAGCCTTTCAATGTGACTGTCTTGTTTCAAGTTTCTTCTGTGGTGTAGTTATAGATCAAGTTAGCTAACTCAGTAAGCTCGCATTCACCTATTAGATGGAGAATGCCATCAAGCTGGTCTATAGCAGAGGGAATTACACTTAGTTGGAGCTAACGAGGATTGTAGCCTAGTAAAACAGACTCAGGTAGTCCTGAAGATGTGCTCCAAGGATTTATAAAATGTTGCTGTAGTTACTGCTTTAAAACCACAGATAAATTTGAAATCACAGCACTTCTTAGTCAGGATTTATGACTGGGTTCATTGTTGGTTTCTAGGTAGTCTGGGGGATAGTCCATTATACACAGGTCAATAGAGGTTAAGAATGTTTCAAGGGTCAATTCATAAGGTAGGGGGCATGTTTACAGTCAGGTCAAAGGTTAGGCTGTTAGCCGGGTGTTGGAGGTGCACACTTAGGAGGCAGAGGCAGGCAGATCTCTGTAAGTACTGGAGTTCTAGGACAGCCTCCAAACCTCCAAAACAATCAGAGGAAACCCTGTATCGGAAAAAAAAAAAAAAAAAAAGGTTTGGCTGTTGAGATAACTGACACCATTTTGACTGTGGCTCGATACCACTTATGAGTACTGAGACAATGTCACGCCAATGTACTCCACCTCCTCAGACATTTCCAGCTAATCTCTACACTGCAGGAGAACGAGCTCCACAAACCTTCAGGAGCTAGCTATGTTCAGGGGTTAGTAAGCCAGAGGCCCTGAGGCCAGTTCTCAGCACTTTAAAAACAATACTACCACTAAACTATTACATCTTTTTGATACATATCATGACTTTATGATATGAAACTGTCAGGTGCTTTGTACATGGAAAAGTAACTGAACTTTATGTAATATTGTTAATAGTAGTATTTTTATTCAACCAAGCATCCTGTAATGTAAATACTTACTTCACAACTTTGCCATACTTGGAAAATATCTGAAACAAAAGATCACAGAATAATAATTTATAATTTAAAATATTGCCACAATTAAATATTCTGATTGTACACACTGACCAGATTCTTTGTTATAGTTTGTGGAAAAATTTCAGCCTTCAGTGTGTGCAACAGGTTTTACAAGAAATATTCCTACATCTAGGGGACTAAAAAGGATGATCACGTTTTAGGGGTCACCTTGGGCAACACAACAAAATTCTGAATCAACAAACCAAAGAAACATTTCTAAGTTACATGAGATAAAGGTAATCGGTTTCAGTTCCACTCCCTATCAACATGCCTAGATCTATGGCACATACACTAGGAAGCAGCTGAATTCCTGATTTATCTGTGGGACTATCAACCCCACCAGAGTTCCAGCTAAACCTGTACTGCAGGATATCACAACAGCAACGACTTAAGCAATGAACTGTTTAAACCAGACTGAATACATTCCTAAAAGTTTCCCCCCCCCCCAAAAAAAGAAAAAACAAAGAAGCATCTCTAGCCAGGAGTGTTGGTAAATGGCTATGATCCTAGTATTTAGAAGATCAAAGTGAGAAGATCATGAGTTTGAGAGAGGCTAATGCTACAAAGCAAGACCTTGCTGGCAAAGATCAGAAGCAAAACAAAAATCTTTTTATGTCTATAGGTGCAATCCTCATCCCAACATTAGTATAGTGGTGGGACTTTATAGCTGGCCTTTTCTTCCCTTGTACTTCTGCATACATCCTAACAAACTTAGCCATCTCTATAGTTTCAGCAAATATCTAGATACTTATAGTTTATTATTTAATGCTTAGAAATCATATTCCTGAGCAAAGGCTTTTTAGAAGATCTTATCACATGCAGTTCAATAATGAAATGCTGAGTTCTGGGTCACAGTGTTAGCAACATTAGATCCCAAGGCCCAGCAGTTTCCTATTTAATTGTGACTTTCTTTTTTTCTTTTTGGTTTTTTGAGGCAGGGTTTCTCTGTGGCTTTGGAGGCTGTCCGGGAACTCCCTCTTGTAGACCAGGCAGGCTGGTCTTGAACTCACAGAGATCCGACTACCTCTGCCTCCTGAGTGCTGGGATTAAAGGCGTGCGCCACCAATGCCTGGCTCAACAGTTAGCTTTTAACTAAGGTTATTTTTTTGCCACCCAGTTGAAAATTTTACCTCCAGCCTAATTTAGTATGCCTCTTTACCTTTTTTGTGAGACAGGGTCTACATTGCCCAGTCTGGTCTCCTGCCTCAGCTTCTGATGCACTGGGATTACAGGAATTTTGTAGCTATGCTATGCAAATATGAGATAGTATAGTGCTATAGTTTTGGCTAGCCTTGAACGCATGACCCACTTGCCTCAGCTTTCAGGGTGTTAGGATCATAGACACACATCGTCTGTTTATATTATTTTCTTTATATAAACGCAGTAATGGTCCACACCTTTAAACCCAGCATTCTGGAGACAGCGGCAGGCCAATCTGAGTTCAAGGCCAGCCAGGGTTAAACAGAAAAACACTGTCTCGAAAAACAAACAAAAAGCAGTGCAAATTCTCTACGGAAATTAAATTTTTCTAATGATTTTTCACTAAAATTTACAGGAGTTATCTATTAAGAACTTTCCCAGGGAGCAGTAATTTGCTTAAGATATAGTTTCTCTCTTAAAGAGAGAATTTATTGGATGTACTGATAGTAAAACTTACCCGGTATAAATCATTGTTGGTCAGAGAGAAGGGCAAATTGGATACATAAACCGTGCTCTTACTTGGAGCCAAGCCACCACTCATTTCTAAAACGGAAAACAAGCCATCAGGAATCTTCTTCCAAATAAAACCAAACACTGGCAATCACTGATTTAATTAAGGCAGAACTCCACAACCTCCATTCATTTAAAGAGATTAGAGTAGGCTCTGTGGGGGTGGGGTGTGAATTACCATAATCCCTTTCAAGCAGTGGATGTAAACGTTTTAGTGCTGCACTGCGGTTGGAGGGGGAGGGATTTAAAGAGCTGGAGAAGCCAAAAGGCTATTTTTAACGTCGTTTTAGGGTTAAAGCAAAAAGATGCTTTCCAAGTATACTCCATAGCTTTCCCGCCCTCCTCCGGAAGGGATACCTGCCAATGCCACCTTTTTCTTAATTTTAAATCCTCAACCTCCTGCATCTATGTCTCAAATAACTTCGGGTACTTGTTTTTAATTTTCTTATTTTTCTCCCAAGTGATTTTCCGCGGGAAATTAAGTTTCACATTTTGATAAAGTTCTTTACTATTTTTAATTCTGTGCCTAACCAATTTATGAATTGGCGTTATCTGATATGAATTATGTGCTTTGAATGAACATTAATCCGCATGTTTATAAGAAGGCTCAGTAATCAATTTCACTATTTACAGCTGCAAATTACTAGGGAAAATTATACTCCATCTAAAAGAATTCAACATTTTGGTTTAAAAAGCGCAGGTGTCGACAGGATTCCAGAGTACCTGGAATAACAAAGTATCGGCTAGACGAATGACAATGGGCGTATTAGCCGGAAGAGAGCTTCACGCCCACCGCCTGGAGGGATTATTTAGAAAGCTTCAGGTATCCAACACCTGCAGGCCACGTTTCAAGTTTCTCTGGCTGAAGAGCAGCGATGCGAGCTGGACGTCCCCGATTCCGGGGCCGGGGCCGGGGCCGGGGTCGAGGCCGCGGGGGTCGCGGGGCCGCGGCGTCGGCGCTTACCTTCAGCGCAATGGACGACAGCGGAGGCTGCGAGCCTGCGGTGGTCTCACCCCCAGCTCCCGTCTGCGGGGCGAGCATCAGCGGCCACAGCGCGGAGCAGGAATTCTCCGGTAACCCTGAAGCCTGGGAGAGCGCGGGCCCGAGCGTGGCGCGCCCGGCGACGTCATTGCCCGCGCCGGAAGTTCCTCCGGCGAGGGCGGACGTCTGCCTTCGCGGGATTCAGCGGCAGCGGAGGAACGTAGGTGAGCGAGTTGCTCTCCCCAGAGGCGTGAGGGGCGCATGCGGCGGGCGGGTGGTCGGGCGGGCGTTTCCTGCCGCGTTGGAGGTGTGCATTATTCTGCTTTCTTGGTGGAGCCTGGGGGTGACTCAGTGGATTTGGGCGGAAATCAAAGTCTTGAGTATAAGACACAAGGTTCGGCTTCTCGTGAGCGGTTTAAGATGCAAGAAGGAACACGCAGCTCGGTAACTTCAGTGGCTTGAGGTCAGTCAGGAAGTCTGTGCTTTTTATTTTTGGACATACCCAGCTCCTTAGTAGGCACTTTCAGAGACTGAGAAAAAGTGCGAAAGTAGCCCACTTGCTGTTGAGAGTCTCGGTGTGGCTGGGGAGACAAAGCCAACGTGGGGGAGAGTTGGGTTCACAGAGTGACCCATTCTCGAGTACTGGCATGGACAGATGTTGAGTTCTTGGTACCTTTCTTTCTCCTCCCCTGTAAATATGGAATGGGCACGCACTGGTTATTCTTTAAGAGGTCGTCATAGGCCGTCCATTTCTACAGAGAAATCAGAAAGTAATGCGTGGTAGTTTATACTTAACTTCTACCCACCAGCACACACAGACCAGGCCTGTAAACTACCCCCTGGGAACCTGCGTGTCAGCAGCCCGGAGCCCAAAGCCTGCCCTGAAGCCTGCACAATCAACCCTGACTGAAGCGGAGGGACGAAGTGCAATCCATCCAGGGCGCAACAGAGTTTTGAGAGGCATTAATGTTAATGCCTTGGCGTCCACCAAGGGACCACTGGGACTGATTCGCTTGGCAAACTTGTGGCCAGCCAAAAACTGCCATGCTTCACATCCCGGTTGTGCTTGGTTATCGCCCAAGATGTAAGCCCCTTTGGTCTTCTATGCATCATTTCACCGCCCGCTGTTTCGTGCTTCCTCTCCCTTGATTTGGGGTATCATTGCCTCTCCCTCAGTTCACCCTTCAGCGCAGCGTCTCTGTGCTCCCTGGAATCGTTTTTTGTTTTGTTTTGTTTTTGCTTTTTTTTTTTTTTTCGAGACAGGGTTTCTCTGTGTATCTGTGTAGCTTTGGAGCCTATCCTGGCACTCTATAGACCAAACTGTCCTCGAACGCACAGAGATCCTCCTGCCTCTGCCTCCCCAGTGCTGGGATTAAAGGCATGCACCACCACCGCCCGGCTCCCTGGAATCGTTTTTGTCTGCTTGCCAAACTCTCACACATGCAGCCTTGTTTTTTGAAATTGTCTTTCATTTTCTGACCTTGATTGAGGTGTAGCTTTCGCCTTTAAATTGAGCTCGTTTTGTGACACCTAAGTTTTAAGACAGACTGTTGCTTCATCTATACCAAAAATTTTTTTTTGCATTTCCTTAAAATTCTCCCCCCCCCCCTTCAGTGTCTTGGTAAGTTCTCATTCTTTTGGTCCTATGATTTCTCTGCTCACTTTTATCTCATTCTATTAATATAATTCCCATTTCTACTCCCCCTCCCCCCAACGGGGACTCTCAGTGTATCCCAGACTGGCCTGGAACTGGTGATCCTCTTGGGCCTCAGTCCTCCGGAGTTCTGATTACTTCCCTTCCTCAGGCTTAGCGCTCTATTTTTTGAGTAGTCACTCCCTAACTTCTTAGAGATAGGTAGCATCCTTTAAATTGCCTTGTGTTTCCCTCCTAGCATGAGTCATTTGTTTCCTAATTGTGTTTTTTGTTTGTTTTGCTTATCTTTGGAATGTAGCTTTTTGTAGCTTTAGAGGTTAAGGTAGTTGCCTAATGAATATGTAGGGAGCAGGAACTGGTTACCTGCTGTTTAGCTGTAAGGAATGCACCATTTGTGAGGTGTGATTTCAGTATTGCCAGGCCATCCAGTTTGTTTAAGAAACAGTTCAAATTCCTTACTTTCTTTTGTGTCTTGGGGGGTGTGGCTGGTCTCATTCAACAGAGATCTGCCTGCTTCTCCCTCCCAATTGAGTTAAGGTATGCACCACACTTACCTTAAATACTATTTTTTATACCTTATTTACTTATTTTATTTTCAAATACTGTTAACAGCAACAAACCCTATGCCTCAGCCAATCCCCTACAGGGTTTTGGGATTTCTTTGTGTAGCCCTGGCTGTCCTGGTAGATCAGTGTGGCCTCGGACTCAGATCCAGCCACCTCTGCCTCCCAGGTGCTGGGACTAACTAAAGGCCTTCACCACCACATCTGGTTTACATCTCAGCTCTAAGTGTTTTTTTGTATAAAAGTCACACACTGCCTATCAGTTATTAATTTGGGAATCCTTTTTAGGTATTGGAGAGTACTGATGAGGAGTTTTTAGAGAATAACAGGTTTTCTAGAACTGAGTCATGAGTATGATTGGAAATTGAAAGTGAATAGGAAGAAAATTACTCATTTCTGTTTGGAGAAATCCAGGTTAGCCATTATGGGGCAGTGGGACATGGAGAATGCTTTTGCTCAGAATAGTTTATGTGAGAAAATAAAAAGAGACTATGAATGATAGGGAAGTTTGGATTTAATTTAATAAGACACTTATTTGAATTCTTTTTTTTTTGTCTAGAATCTGTAGATGGGGCTTAGTATGCAAGAGAACAGTTTTCTGGAGAGATGAATAGCTCTCAAAGACATCAAGGAAGGAACTCTTGGATCATATCTTCAAACTCTGCTAGCTGTTAGGGTCCCAGTCTGACTTGTTCATTTATTTCCTCTGAATGTGATACAGCGTGACATATAATGGGTATAATATACCTAAAATTAAGATCAAGAACACTTCATAAAATGAAGGTAGCAGGTGAGGGAAAATACATTGTTGAGAAACTAGATTAATTGTGCATCTGTGTGTTTATAATTTTTGTACTTGTGGATTATTTTTATTTTACACATAAGATAATAACTTTAAAACAAATACATGTATTATTGGGGTATCATTAATGCTTAAATAAATATGTGTATTTCATAATTTTGGGTCATAATAAACATTTCTCTTCAAATGCCATTTCTTTATGGTAAAGTATTTCAAAACTCTTGTAGACTTTTTGAAGTGCAATAATTATTATTGTTATCCATAACTGCTCTGTTACACAGTGGAATACCAGGACTTCTTGCCCTACTTAGCTATAACTGTCCCCATTCATTAACCTGTCTCTATCCTTTCTTCTGCTAGTGTTCTGTACTGCCAGTAACCACCATTCTAGTCTCCACTAAGAAGTTTTATAGGTGACATGTTTCTTGAAACAGGGTTTTGCTCTGTAACCCCAGCTGCTTGAGACTGACAATATGGGTGAAGCTGGCTTTTAATGTGTGTCTCTGCTTTTGGAGTCTTTGGATTACAGATATGTACTACTACACCTGTCCTAAAAAGTGTAGAGTGACTTGTGAAGCTAGTAAGAGTGAAGTGCTTTAAAGGCGCTAAATTGTGGTGGGAGTTGTCTTTGAGTCCCATCCAAGTCAGCCAGGCCTACACAGTGAATGAAGCTCTATATCAAATTTCTGCCCCCTCCATTACTCAGCTATATAATTTATCATGGAAAAAAAGTCCATGGTCTTCTTGTTCTAGCCTCCTGCCTCCTCTTCTAACCTATTTTGTATGCTGATAAATTAACCTTCTGAAATGACATCCTTCCTCCACTTTTTCCCAAGGTTAAAAGCCTCTACTGAATATCTTGTCTAGACCTTATCATTTGATGTCTTGGAACCTGTTCTCTCTGCTTGCCTGCTTCTTTTGTGATAACATTGGGAAGGATTGGGGTTGGTACTCCAGGCTTAAGACTAGAGTTTCAGTTTTTGAGAGCGCTAGAGTTTTTTTATGTAAAACTGAGGGGTTATATCTCTGTCACCAGGATAGTGTGGGTAAAGGGTTTAAATGTCTTGAATGCTTATTGCATAAAGTTTTGCATTTAGGAGAGCAAATAAAAATTTGTCAGATACCTGAGTGGGTAGATTTATTTGTTTGTTTATCTATCATTGCTTTGTGGTCTCCCTTGGTCAGCTCTTCTTCACTTGATCTTAGCCAAAAGGCTGAGAAGCAATGATCACTTCTTTCTCAGGCACTTGAGAATCATTCCTAATGCCTTTCCTTCTCTTGGATTCTATTGTTTAGTATTTTCTGTTCATTTGAGTCCTCACTCGGGGTTCTATTAATTATTATTAATTAAAAATTATCTTAGCTTTCTTAAAAGTTGTCTTACCTAGCATATGGTTTTTAAAGCTAGCTCTCATTTTGTAAATCTGTCTGGCCTAGAACTCACAAAGCTGAGATTAAAGAGGTGCTTCACCATATCCACACCTAGCATACTCTTGAGTGCCAAGCAACACGGAATTCTAGTTGGGATGTTGCTGTTTTGACCATTATTAAAATGTGACATTTTCCCCCCAAAGATTTTAATTATATTCTAAAAGTGATTTTTGGCTTAGTTGTCTAGAATTGTAAACATTTTCTGCTAGGAGCAATCTTTACAGTTTTTAGTTTCAGGTTAGCTCTTGAACATCTCCTTAGTGTTTCAGGGTTATGCTTGCTTCTCTTTAATCTGTTGATCTTAGTCTGTGATGAGTTTAAGATTTGAAAGCAGTTAGATCTTTCCAAGGGCATCTTGCAGACTTTGAAAAGACAGGCTCTGGATAGTGTTGTTTCTTAAAGCTCTTGGATAATGCTAGTGTGCAACAAGATTGAAATTCACCTGAGCATGTGGGGTTTAAAAGTTCTTGTCCGTATTTTTGTTAAAATTGAAATGGCACTGATACCTTAAAAAGTGTGGCTAGATTCATTTAATAGTGCTCATAGGAAGTTTTTTTGAATAATTAAAGGTGCCAACTACTCTAGTATTAAGATTCCCTAGAATGCTTCCTGGGTTGTCATATGAACTACTTATCCTTGATAAAAAGTGCTTTCCTCTGCTAAGACCGAGGAACAATATAGGTGTATAGACGTTACCTTTGCAGTGGGAGGATGATTTAGAAAGAGGAAGAGTGAATAGAATATGGGACTGTAGGGTCTTTTGAGGGGCACAGAGAAGTACTGGCTTAGCTCTTTGGGAGGATGTAAGCAATGTTGACATTTGGGCTGCATCTTGAACATAGACTGGATAGTTCAGAGATACTCTGGGTAGAGGTTAAGGTGCAGTGTATGCTTGGTAACCTGAGTAGGAAGCTTAGGTATTTGTGCTTTGTTGAGGTCTTAGAAATAACTGGATGGAGGAAACGTTTAGGTGTGACAGGTGTTGAGTTTTGTTGTTCAAGTTTCTGATTGAGTCTTTGGGTTTCATTGACCAAAAGGGGGAAGACAGGAGGTGAGATGAGTCTCTGAGAAAGTGTGAAGAACTGTTGGGGCATGGTGAATTGAAGGTCTGTGCTACATTCTTTAGGAGGAAGTTAGAATGGAAGGAGAGATGTCCAATCGTTTAGTGAGAGAGATTTTCTTCTTCTTCTTTTTTTTTTTTTTTTTTTTTTTTTTTTGAGACAGGGTTTCTCTGTACCTTTTAGAGGCTGTCCTGGAACTCATTCTGCAGACCAGGTTGGCCTTGAACTCACAGAGATTCACCTTTCACTGCCTCTTGAGTGGTGGGATTGAAGGGGTGTGCCACTACCGCCCAGCTGAGGGATGGTTTTTTTTATTATTGTTTTTTATTTAGAAACAACCTTATTTTACATGTCAGTCCCCCATGCCCACTACCTCTCATCCTCCCATGCCCCCCCACATCCCGGAGATAATGAGACCCTCATGAGGGGTCATCAAAGTCTGCCACACTACATGGGGAAGGTCCTAGGTCCTCTGTGTATCTGGACTGAAATAGTATCCCACCATAGGGAATGTGCTCCCAAAGTCCATTTGTGCACTAGGGATAAATACTGGTTCCATGGTTAGAGGACCCA